CTATATGGCCCACAAAACGATTTTCATTTTCCATTATTACTAGCCCGTTTCACAATGAGCTGCACTACAACCCCCAGCATGCACTGCTACATGATGTGTGCTCTACTCCCCCCAACAATGTATGGGACAACAGTTACACCACAAAAGTCTATTTCAAGCAAATAGTCAGATTTAAAAACCTGCCTCCTGGGTACATTTAACAGTTCAAGTGTTCACGTAATATTTCAAGGTCCGCTACAAGTACAAAAACAGAAATAGACTGGTCAACCACTGAGCACAGGACAGAGCTCTAACACAACAAAACGCAGAATCACATCAGTTATCACCACAGCCAAACGCATGCTGTAATTTTCTATGAATTATTCTGTAGCTCACTGAAAAACGTGGAGAAACTGTGTGGAAAGTGCAGATTCTAAACTTTCAATCAATACAGTTGTGTCTATAAGTAGGAGTGGAAAGCTGATGGAAAGTTGTTCTTGTGTGGGCAGCTTTGTTTTGCAGAAAGAAAAAAAAAAACATTTTTGCTGGTTTTGCCATTTCTTGATTAAAACACAGAGAAAGTCAGAAATGCAGAACCTGTTCATGACCAACAGGTAACATGTAATTTATAGTGTAATCATGTATTATGTAATGATGGTTTGAACCACATTTGGGTTAAGATCTGTTTTGGGACAGCTAAGAGCAGGTTTGGTACTGCGAAGACTGGGTTTGGGGCAGCTATGGTATGGTTTGGGTCACCTAAGACCAGGTTTGGGTCAGCTAAGAAGAGGATTGGGTTATTTAAGGCCAGATTTGGGTCAGCTAAGACCAGGTTTGGGTCATCTAAGCCAGGTTTGGGTCAGCTAAGACCAGGTTTGTGCCAGCTAAGACCAGGTTTGGGTCAGTTAAGGCTGGGTTTGAGCCAGCTAAGACCAGGTTTGGGTCATCTAAGGCCAAGTTTGGGCCAGCTAAGACCAGGTTTGTGCCAGCTAAGACCAGGTTTGGGTCAGCTACGGCTGGGTTTGGGCCAGCTAAGAAGAGGTTTGGGTCATTTATGGCCAGATTTGGACCAGCTAAGACCAGGTTTGGGTCATCTAAAGGCCAGTTTTGGGCCAACTAAGACCAGGTTTGGGCCAGCTAAGACCAGGTTTGGGTCATCTAAGCCTGGGTCTTGGCCAGCTAAGATCAGGTTTGGGTCATCTAAGACCAGGTTTGGGCCAGCTAAGACCAGGTTTGGGCCAGCTAAGGCTGGGTTTGGGCCAGCTAAGAAGAGGTTTGGGCCATCTAAGCCCATGTCTTGGCCAGCTAAGACCAGGTTTGGGCCATCTAAGGCCAGATTTGGGTCAGCTAAGACTAGGTTTGGACGATCTAAGAACAGTTTAGGTCCAGCCAAGGCCAGGTTTGGGCCAGCTAACAACGGGATTGGTCCAGCTAAGACCAGTTTCTTGCCATCTAAGCCCAGTTTGGGCCAGCTAAGGCTCAATTCAGTAAAATGAATGAAATTCACATTAGAATTAGATTTAGCGGAATCTGTTATACTCATGTTATACTCAAGTTCACCTGCATTTAATACATATTTAGTTGAATGATGTTTAAAGAGAAGGTTGGGAATCTACAGTGGACGATCAAAATTTAGCATGATTACAAATTGAACATATAGCAAAAAAGCAGTATGTCCAGACTGCTGACGATTACGCTTAACCCCTTAAATGGCCAGGTCTACTACTACACTTATCTATAACTTAATAACAGCCAGTTTGTATAGTATTCCATGTGGTTACTAATAAATGATGACCCTTATGCTGTAATAAGCCTGAGATTTTTAGGGGTTAACAGAGTCACCAACCCAACACACTGTACCACTGCTTATGAATTCAAATCACACTGTTTGTGGGTGGTGCTTAATAATTGATAACTTTTCTGCATCTGTTTATTCTTTGTTTATTATTTCACACATATTATTTCAATACTCTGCGCATTGTTCCTGAGTTTCAGAGCTACGTAAGATTCTCCACATGGTGAAATAAAAGCTGCTCTTAAACAAATGTTCGTAATAATAATATGTTCTAATCTCTCGGATGTTTTGGTTCTGGACTCAGCAGATTTGCGGAGCTGTGGTTTTGACTTGCTGTCTGTGACCTCATTAAAGATAAATGCTAAACGCTGCCTCAGACAGAAAGGAGCGAAAAGAAAAGATAAAGAGATACAAAAAACACGAGTGTGCTGTTTGCTTTGGCCCTGTTCGAGAAAAGAATGAACAATGCAAGCAATTATGCATACGTGGGATCGCGTATGAATAATTCAGCGTGGGGAGTTTAGAGGATGTAAAATATGCATGTTTGGAGTGAAGTGGCGTGTTTTAACACAGCGAGTGAAAAGAAGTCAAACTCGGCTCAGACAGCAGCTCTGTTATCATACTCATCACTTTAACACCCCCCTCCCCCCCCGCACCACCACCGCAGCACAGAGATTAAAGCTATGAAGTACGTGAGCAGATACAGTATAATCAGACCGCAGCACTGAAACCTTCACCCTACAGCACGGACAGACGTATGGAGGGATGGATGTCCAATGAAAAATATTGGGTCTGCCAACCGAACCACTCAGTTTTGCCAAGGTTCAAACCAGCTTGGGTCAGATTTGGTCCATGGCCAGCTAAGAACATGTTTGGTTAGCTAAGACCAGGTAGAGACCGGTTAAGACCGGGTTTGGGCCACCTAGGACAAGGCTTGGGTCAGCTAAGAACTTTTTGACAACAGCCAAAAGCATGTTTGGGCCAGCTTAGACCAGATTTGGAGGAGCTAACACTAGTTTTGGGACAGTTATAAGCATGTTTGAGACAGCTGAGACCAGGTTTGGACCATCCTAAGGCAAGTTTGGGCAAACTAAGACCTGATTTAGACCAGCTAAAACCAGATTTGGACCAAGTGTGGGACAGCTAAGACCAGGTTTAAGACTGCTAAGAGCTGTTCTGGAACAGCTTTGTCATGTTTGAACCAGGTTTGGGCCATCCTAGGAGACGTTTGATGTAAGAGCTGTGTTGGGACTACTAAGAGCTGTTTTGGACTAGCTAAGACCAGGTTTGGGACTGCTAACAGCTGTTTTGGGACAGCTTGGGCCATCCTAGGCCAGGTTTGATGTAAAAGCTGTGTTGGGATTACTAAGAACTGTTTTGGACTAGCTAAGACCAGGTTTAGGACTACTAAGAGCTGGTTTGGGCCAGCAAAGACCAGGTTTTGGGCTGCTAAGACCAGGATTGCGCATTTGGGCCATCTAAGTCCAGGTTTGGGCCAGCTAAGACCAGGTTTGGGACTACTAAGACTTGGTTTGGAAAAGGTTTCTGACACCTATGGCCAGGTTTAGGCCAGCTAAGACCAGGCGAGGGCCATCTAAAGTAAATTTGGGCCAGCTAAAACCAGGTTTGGGACTGCTTAGACTAGGTTTGGGTCAGCTAAGGTAAGGTTTGGACCAGCTAAGGCCTTTTGGGCCAGTTACAACGAGGTTTTGTTCCAACTAAAGCCAGGTTTTGGTCATTTAAGGCCAGGTTTTGGCCAGCTAAGGCAAGGTTTGGGCCAGTTAAGGTAAGGTTTGAACCAGGTCTGGCCCAAGTAAGGCAAAGATTGGGCCAGCAAAGGCAAGGTTTGAACCAGGTTTGGGTGATCTAAAGCCAGGTTTTGTAGAGCCACCTGTAGCCACATTTGTCCAAGCTCTAATAAAAAGGCAGACTACTCAGCTGTGACCCAGCATGGGAACTTCACCAGTGGATATATGAAGTTAGTGCTGAGTCACAGTGTATAGAGAGCTGTTACCTGATGAATGAGATGAGGAACCTATTAGAGTTGCTGTTGTGCTCAATCCTGAACCTGAGCACACAGTGAGAGACAAAATGAGACTTGTTTTGAAACGGACTCTCTGCTGGTTTCAGCTTCCGGCTATGAGAACACAAGGAAAGACCACACGCAGCACTGAAATCGCTGCACCGCTATAACAGACAAAGTCTTTATAATCATTACAGTCAATGTAATCATTTAAAGGGTAAGTCCACCCATTTAAAAAAATTCCTGCGTGATTAAGTGGTTAATATGTAAACAGAGTGGTTCAGAGTGGTTTGGTGTGAAACGCTCTGTTCTAGAGAAACTGAGTCAGAACTGTTCACAATGGTGGTGATAGAAACCAGACGTCCACCTCTAAAGGCTCCCTCACAGAACTAGTTACTAGTTACTACATGAAATGGTTATGAATTCACTGCTTAATGACTGACACATTGTTTTGAGAAGATTTTGGCCTTAAACTCCATTCATGGTGGAGGGATACATAACATGCAGGGCACTGTGAGGCAAAATAGTCCCCAAAGAAAACTTATTATTTCAGATTTTCCACTATTTTCCATCATCAACACTCCATATAAACTCAGAAGACTCGTGTAGGTTCACTGGTGGTTCTGGATAGTAAATAAAATGTATATATTTGTACTGTAGTCATGGCAACCCCTGGTTCCTATCACCACCACTGTAAAGACATCTGAACCATTTCACAGCAAACCGCTCTAAATTGTGCAGAAATTCTGGAAAGTCGGTGGGGTTCCCCTTTGACAGATGGATTTGCTGTATCTTCACCGCATCAACTGCTCTGCAGGTGGATCTTACACAACGCACCAACACTGGAAGAAGCCCTCCGTGCTGAGGTGCCCTTGGCACTGGACGAGCACCCACACCACACGCGCGCCGCTACCGAACCCCTGGACGCGCACGTGACGTGACACCGGTGACACGCGCTCGAGGAAAACGTGTACGTGACCGGGCAAAGCGTAACAGCATCACAACACAGCCAGCACTGCCGCACTGGAAGGCACACACAGCTGAAGCTGAAGCTCCGGTCCACCTTAAATGGCGCAGCTGTTACTTTACATGCGTGTAGCTGATGCCCCGTTTAAGGTGGAGCGGAACATTCGAGTAAGGAGGCAGTTTCAGCCTCATGAAACACACACGCATCCACACAGGCGAAGCTCTCGTGCTGCTTACCGTATGTTCGCGCTGCGCTCCCTCCGCCAGGATCCGCGCGCCTCGCTGGCATCTAGCTAATTACACGCGCTCTAGAACGCATATGCACACGCACGAGCACGCTCGCTCCACTCCGCGGTCCCCGGTGACCGTTATAGCTCCCTGTTAGCGCGCGCGAATGCGGCCCTCCATCCGCGCCGCCGGCCCAGCGCGCGCTCCGAGCGGAGGGGCGGGGGAGCAGCGCGAGCCAATCAGCAACTCAGGGCACTTGTTGGTGCTACAGAGCTGTGGTTGCTGGGAGAGACGAGGACTAATAATAATAATAATAATAATAATGAAAATAATAATAATAATTTTCATCATTATTACCACCACAATAATAATAATAATAATAATAATAATATTTGGTGATGATGATGATTATTATTAGTAGTAGTACTATTAGTAGTAGCTGATGATGCTGATTATTATTATTATTATTATTATCAGTATTTTTATAGTGGTGATGATGATGTAGATGATGAAGAACATTATAATAATAATGATGGTTGTTATCATTATCATTATTATTATTATTAACAATAATAATCATCATCATCATCATCTTGTGGTGGTGGTGGTAAAGATAAAGGATGATGATGATGATGATTATTATTATAATTGTGGTGATGAGGATGAAGATGCTGGTTATTATTATTATTATTATTATTATTATTATTATTATTATTATTATTATTGTGGTGGTGGTGGTGATGATGATGGTAATGATGAAGATGAAGAGGAGGATGATGATGATCATGATGATTATTATTGTGGTGGTGGTGATGGTAATGATGAAGATGAAGAGGAGGAGGATGATGATCATGATGATTATTATTATTGGTGGTGGTGGTGATGATGATGATAATGATGAAGGTGAAGAGGAGAGGATGATGGTGAAGATGATGATGGTGGTGAAGATGGTGAAGACGAAGATGATGGTGAAGATGATGATAGTGATGATGGTGAAGATGATGATGATGGTGAAGATGAAGATGGTGATGTGAAGATGGCGAAGATGATGATGGTGAAGATGATGATGATAATGAAGTTGAAGAGGATGATGATGGTGAAGATGATGATGGTGAAGATGATGATGGTGGTGAAGATAAAGATGGTGAAGATGATGATGATAATGAAGTTGAACAGGATGATGATGGTGAAGATGGTGATGATGGTGAAGATGAAGATGGTGAAGATGATAATGAAGTTGAAGAGGATGATGATGTGAAGATGAAGATGATGATGGTGAATATAAAGATGATGATAATGATGGTGAAGATGATGATGGTGAAGATGATGGTGGTGAAGATGATGATGGTGAAGATGATGGTGGTGAAGATGAAGATGGTGAAGATGATGATGATAATGAAGTTGAAGAGGATGATGATGGTGAAGATGGTGATGATGAAGATGAAGATGGTGAAGATGATAATGAAGTTGAAGAGGATGATGATGGTGAAGATGAAGATGATGATGGTGAATATAAAGATGATGATAATGATGGTGAAGATGATGATGATGATGATGATAATGAAGCTGAAGAGGATGATGATGGTGACGATGGTGATGATGGTGAAGATGAAGATGGTGAAGATGATGATAATGAAGTTGAAGAGGATGATGGTGAAGATGAAGATGATGATGGTGAATATAAAGATGATGATAATGATGGTGAAGATGAAGATGGTGAAGATGATGATGATAATGATGATGATAATGAAGTTGAAGAGGATGATGATGGTGAAGATGAAGATGATGATGGTGAATATAAAGATGATGATAATGATGGTGAAAATGATAATGAAGTTGAAGAGGATGATGGTGAAGATGGTGATGGTGAAGATGAAGATGATGATGGTGAAGATGATGATGGTGAAGATGATGATGATGATGATGATAATGAAGCTGAAGAGGATGATGATGGTTTATTCCCCGTTTCCTTCATCATCACCTAAACTCATCTTACTTGTACATATTTCGGTAAGTGGTTAGAATTTTAATGCTGGAAAAAAGTTTTTTTGTTTGTTTTAAACGGGTATAAATGCCGTTTACTCTGAGCTTCAGATTTCAGTTCAGTTCCTTCAGTTCTGCTTTTATCAGACCTTCAGTGCTGATTTAGACTAAACTCCGACCTCAGCTGAGGCAGGAACTCCTTCCACAAAGCGAACTGAAGGTGACGCTCCACTTACAGAAGCCTCCATAAGTCCTTTATCGGCCTCCATCTGACCTGCGTCAGGTTTCTTTAATCCCCAACAGAGACTTCATCATATTCAGCACAGACGAGATGAGAGAAAATATCATCACTTCATAAAGTATCTATGAAACTCACGTTAAATATTCAGATGCTTATTAAAGCTCTGAATGTGATTCGTTTAACTTCCTCTGAACACATTCATCCTCCTGTTGGAGTGGTCAGTAGTAAATGTTGCGCTGTGGTGCCCTCTAGTGTGGTAATGTTGAAGTAGCAGCATCTGAAGGTGAATCTGCAGATAGGGGGCGCTTTTGCACCCGAACACCTGCCAGGACCAAGTCTGAGTTTACTGTAAATGTACCTACTGTTTTATTTGATTTGATTCCAGCCTGACAGACATATTACACTCATATTCAGCTGAAAGGAAGACCAGAAAGACCAGATTAGTAGAAAAATAGTTTACTAAAATCAACAGCGAGCTCACAGGAGGAGAACCTGCTGACCGATCAAAAAGCAAATGGCTTTTCCGATCCAAGCAGGCAAGCTTTCCCGGATCCTCCTCCTTCCCAACAGTCGGGTAAAGTAAATATAAACATGCAACCCCAAAATATACAACCTCAAAAACAGTATTAGCTTGTGAGCAGAAATGTTTCCTCCATTTCAGAACACTTTTTCATCGTGGACTGGGCAGGTTTCAGTGGACACAGCACATGGTCAACCTTTACAGGGTCAATATAAAGTCTTGAGTGCCAGGATTTGCCCAAAAGATGTTTAAAAATTATGAAAAGTGCATCTGACAATGACTTATTTAAGAAAAACAACACAAAAAAAAAGAAAGTTTTCTGACTTAAAAATTAGAAAAATCATCCGCAAATATAAGTTTAAAAGGTCACGTGTTTGAACAAAGAACATATAACCAAAATAAGAGTCTTTTTTTGTTGTTCTACCAAACAAGTCGGCACACGTGACCTCAGAATTTCACACGTTTTTTCCAAAGCGATGACGTTTCCACACCAAGTTCTTCATCACACCCTAAATGTAAGCTGGGTTCAAGTCTCTGGGATTCTTTAGGGACCCGTGTCCAAAGCCGGCAGATATTTCTACCTGTCGAATCATGGTGACTGGCACACGTGACCTCAGAATGACAACTGCGTATCCATGGAAGTTCTACAGAGACGTCCCCTAAGTTGTCCTAACTTCATGTCAGCAGTCTCTGGGCTGGTTATCGGAGGCCAAAAGTTGCAAAAGTTTTTTTTCAAAATACTAGAAAAATACGGTTTTGATGTGAGGTCACGTGTGCCATAAACATGTTCATTGGCGCACGTGACCTCAGAATAGCGTTAAATTTAATTTAAATGACCAAATTTGGACTCACTTCAACCCACTTACAAGTCTCTGGAGCTGTTTTTGCACATTAACAGTCAGTTTCCGCTATGAGCAGATTCTTCTGCGTGTCCTCACATTTGTTGGCACACGTGACCTTTTCACACTTGTCTCCACAGCAATTATATTTCTACAGCAACTTCTCCATTTTGCCCGAAACTTTGAGCCAGTTTCGAGCCCCTGCCCATCCCTTTGACCCCCACAATCACGTTCATCAGCACATGTGACCTCAAAACAACACACTCCTTTGCACAGCAATGACGTTTACACAGCCTTTCAAAGTACAAACATGAAACTAACAGTCTGTGGGAGTCTTTGGACAAGCAGAGGAACCTGGAAACTGACCTCTGACCACCAGTAACGTTCATTGGCACACGTGATTTCAGAACAACTCAGCTAATTCCATTTTAATAATATTTTTACAGCAGCTTCTGCAGCAACTTCAAGCCACCCAGCTTCAAGTGTGTGAGACAGAGTTTGAGGGTTAAAGGTCAGTTTCCAAAGCAGATTTTTCCACCTATCACTCTGAGGTCACGTGTGCCAATGACAGGTTCACAATGACACACGTGACCTCAGGATGACACACTTATTTCACTAGCAATGAAATGTCGACAATCTCATAAAGTTGACCGAGACCTAATTTACTGGATACAGTCAGTGGACAAGTAGAAAAACGTGGAAACTGACCTTTGGGATCACGTTTATCGACACACGTGACCTCTTATGACACGTTTATTTCTGTAGACACAGTTTTGAAAGGTTCACTGAGACCTAACTTCAAATGTCTGGGAGACTTTGAGACAGGTGGTCAGTTAGCAAAGTGACCACGTCCCCGGGGGCCGCCCCGGGCCCACCCACCACGCCTAAATGGCGGTGGCCCTTCCTCGAACCATTCAGGACCCCTGTTTGGCCCAGAGTGTCTCCAGTCGTTCCTGAGTGGGGCACGGTTCCAGTGGTCCCCCTCCATAGGACCTGGGGGTGGAAAGTCTTCGTGTGGCCCAGGCATGGGCATCCGGAACCTGCCTGGGGGTCCCCGTGGTCCACGGGGTCCCATGGGTCCAGGGGGTCCAGGAGGTCCAGGGGGTCTCTCTCTAAACATGGGGCCCTGGGGCATCGTTGGCTGTGCCATGTGCATCGGGGGCATATTTGGGTGAGGCACATTTGGATGGGGCGCATTGGGATGGGGTGCGTTTGGACGAGGAATGTTTGGACGGGGCATGTTTACTGGAGGCATGTTTGGACGCACGTTGTTTGGGAATGGGTGAATGAATGGAGGAAGGGGTCCCGGAGGATGTTGCAGAGGTCCAGGAAGGGTTCCAGCAGGCAGGCTGCTGGTCACAGGGGCTTCAGGGGAGTCCATCTGGCTCACAGGACCTTCACAGGGTTCTGCTGAAGGGGCCTCCAGCTTGTCTGCTGAATTTAACATGAAATGAAAGAAACGGGTGAGAAAGTTGGTGATAAAGAAAAGAAAAACAAGAAGAAAAACCTACAGAGAAATCAGGAACGATGGATAGAATGAAAGAAAGCAGTATTTCCCCTCATTTTACCCACCTGCATGAGTGTGCGGGGGGCTGATCATGGTGGGGGTGATGGCAGCAGGAGACCCGGCCACATCGACACTCACTGCAGGTACCTGAGAGATACAACAACCACCAACCTTAAAACAGCGTATTATTAGACAAAGACAGGATTGCAGGGTACTTTGAAAGAGAACGGAAAGGCTGCAGTTTAAAACGGGAGGCAAAGTGTTTTCTGCATGTGAACCTGTGGTAAAAGTTTACTGGAGATCAATGATTTAAAAACAGCTTTATTACAATCAATAAATGTCTTCGCCGAACTAAAGGGGCGCTTAATACACACAGTAGACAAACACCACCCTCTAGTGGCGACTCTATAGCATTTCCCCACCAGGACTACAGAGAAAAAGACAAACGCCACCCTCTAGTGGTCAATGTGCATTACTCCAGAAAATGTCAATACATTTGCCATGGAAGTGTGGATACCAACACTGAGGCACCTGATAAACAAGTCAAACAAAATGTTCACATACAAATCTAATTTTAAATAAGACGATATCAGATTAATATGAAACAAGTACAACTGAATGTTTATGGTGAATCAATGAAAGAATATAAAACTATTCATTCAGTTGTGTTGGTGAGAAAATACCCCTCTTCAGTGAAAAAGGGTGGGTGACCAACACTGATATATATAAATATATATATATATATATATATATATATCACTTACTGTTTATATATATTAAGCTACAAATCATCTCACCTTAAAGGAAGACTGACATTCACCTGCACAGGCCTCACTGGTGAAACACCGCTCTCTAGTGGTTCATTCACAGCACTACTGGTGAAACACTGCCCTCCAGTGGCTTATTTATAGCATTACTGGTGAAACACCGACCTCTTGTGGTTCATTTATAGCACTACTGGTGAAACACCGCCCTCTAGTGGTTCCTTTATAGCACTACTCCCATGGGACTCCAGGACTATTTCAAAGTGTTGACCCTCAGAGCTGGTCTAAGGTCAGTTTTTATAAACACAGTGATACTGATGTTCAGATACGGATCTCGGGGCTCTGTGAAATTCTTATTCTTGGTTAATGTTTAACTTTGTCTCCCAGCAGAGAAGAAACGGGAGCAGCGGTGGTGACACAGATTTTAGGGTCAGTATTGTCCAGCCTTCTGGATGATACGGTTCTTTTAAGGCCTCAAACAACAAAACCAGCAGCAGCAGAACCTGAATTTGAACCACTAATGTTCCAACTTTTAGAGGCATCACAGAAAATCCAATGTGGCAAACTGTAAAATATATAAAATGAAATAAGAAAAATAAAGCTACACGAGGGGCGGAACATTTACAAAATTAATGATTTTGTTCATTTATTTACAGCTTGCAAACTGTGGCAAATAAATAAATAAATAAATAAATAAAGGAGCCAATATTTCCAGATTAATAACTTAATTTCCAATTTGTCTAGCATGATAGACAGAAAGACAGACGGATAGATGGACAAACAAACAAAAATCAAGCTACACTAAGGACTAGAAATTTACAAATTAATTAACTTCCAGTTTGTCTAGCGTGACTAATAGATCAATAATGAAATAAATAAATAAATAAATAAATAAATAGACAGACAGACGGACAGACAGACTGTCCGAAACAGACAAAAGGGAAATCAAGCTACATAAAGGACTAATATATTACATATTATTTTATTAATTAATCTTCAGGTCAAAAAAATAAATGTACAAAAACATGAAAATCAAGCTACATTAGTGACTGAATATCTCCAAATTAATTTCTAGTTTGTCTAGTGTGACACAGTATTTCCATGTTAATTTATGAAATGATTTCTAGGTTGCCTTGTGTGATTGTTAAATAAATAAATAACCTATAAGAACTGAATATTTTCATATTAATTTACTCATTAATTTCCAGGTTGCCTTGTGTTTAAGTAAGCAAGTAAGTAAACAAACAAACAGATGAATAAATAGATTTAAAAAAAATGAAGCTACATTAGTGATGGGATATTTCTGAAATAATTTAATTAATTTCTGGCATGGCAGACAGACAGACAGACAGACAGATAAACAGACAAACAAATAAACAGACAGACTGTCAGAAAAGGACAAAAAGGAAATCGAGCTACACTGAGGACTGAATATTTCCATATTAATTTATTCATTAATTTCTAGTAACCAAGTAAGTAAATAAACAAACATAAGGAATAATGAAGCTACATTAGTGATGGAACATAATGGACATAATTTATTAATTAATTTCTGGCATGCTAGACAGAAAGATAGACAGATATATGGGTGGTCAGATAGACATATATATGGACGGACAGACCAACAGATGGACAGATATACGGATGGACAGACAGACAGATATATGGATGACAGACAGACAGATATATGAATGGACAGAGATAGACAGATATATGGATGACAGATAGACAGACAGACAGATATATGAATGGGCAGACAGAGATATATGGATGGACAGACAGACAGATATATGGATGGACAGATAGACAGACAGAGATATATGAATGGGCAGACAGAGATATATGGATGGACAGACAGACAGATATATGGATGGACAGATAGACAGATATATGGATGGACAGACAGACAGATATATGGATGGACAGATAGACAGACAGAGATATATGAATGGGCAGACAGAGATATATGGATGGACAGACAGACAGATATATGAATGGACAGACAGACAGATATATGGATGGACAGATAGACAGATATATGGATGGACAGATAGACAGACATAGAAACAGGTAAAATGAAACTAGGCTACACTATAGACTGAATATTTCCATATTTATTTATTTATTTCTGTATTCATTCATATATTGAGTGATATATAAGTGAGAAAACAAAGGGGGGGTGAAGGAAATCAGACTCTACATCTCCTGATTGACTGATTTCACTGTCCACTGTGGCTGAGCAGAGGAGAACGACGCAAGCTAAACTGTGGAGAGGATACTTTCGTATTCATCTCTTCATGTCCAGCTGATAAAACACTGCATCAGACTGCAGTTCACACACAGATCAGTGACGTCCACACTCTGTCACCCTGTTCTTCAGTGGTCAGGACCCCCATGGACCCCCACAGAGCAGGTACTATTTGGGTGGTGGGTCATTCTCAGTACTGCAGTAACACTGACATGGTGGTGGTGTGTTAGTGTGTGTTGTGCTGGTCTGAGTGGATCAGACACAGCAATGCTGTTGGAGTTTTTAAACACTGTGTCCACTCACTGTCCACTCTATTAGACACTCCTACCTTGTCAGTCCACCTTGTAGATGTAAAGTCAGAGACGATAGCTCATCTGCTGCTGCACAGTTTGTGTTGGTCATCCTCCAGTCCTTCATCAATGGTCACAGGACGCTGCCCACAGGACGCTGAGGTGTTTAAAAACTCCAGCAGCACTGCTGTGTCTGTTCCACTCGCACCAGCACAACACACACTAACACACCACCACTACGTCAGTGTTACTGCAGTGCTGAGAATGACCCATCGCCCAAATAGTACCTGCTCTGTGGGGGTCCTGACCACTGAAGGACAGGGTGCAGAGAAACAGATGGACTACAGTCTGTAACTGAAAAACTACAAAGCCCATCTACATGGTCAGTGGAGCTGATAAAGTGGACAGTGAGTGTAGAAACGAGGGGCTGGACATTATAAAGTGGTGGAACTCTTTACCAGTTAATATCCGTCAGACATCATCTGTCACCAGCTCGAACAGCGGACAGTGTGATTCAGCTCAGCACTCTGTTCGTTTTTATTACACATCGTATTCATTTTAATGTTCTTATTTTTCGTTCTTTCTTCCGTTTATTTTATTGTAACATCTTTAAATACGAATGTTTAATTGTTCATATTTTTTTTTCATGTATTATTACTTTTTTATTAAACAAGCACTTCTTTCAGTTGTTTTTATTTTGCTGTTTACATGATTTTGAAACCTTCTTTGTAAAGTGTGAAGCACTTTGAGCTGCAAACAGTAACTGTGCATTAAAATGTGCTGAAGTGTGTCTCTGTAGAGGATGTGTTCACTTATTTACACTATAAAACAAACAAGAAAGAAAAAAAATACAAACATAATCTGATCGGGGGTGCCCAAACTTTTGCACAAGGCTGGGTAAGTGATGAGCAGCCACTGATGCCCATTCTCTCCCAAAGCTTGACCTGCAGTAATACTGATCTACCCATAGGCAGTTACTTGGCATCATTTTAATGGATACACATCCCGGATTTCAGGAATGTTTGGGAACGTAGCCATATTGATTACACTACATACAGTGGGGTCCTAAAGCCTAAGACCACTCTGAAAATCTGGGACTGTTTTCATTTAAACCTGGACATAAACAGCAGAACATTTTAGAATTATTTCTAGGTCACTATTCAAATTTGAAGGGAAACTCCACCTATTTTTCCAAAATTGCTTGCATAATTATATGGTTAAGATGTAAACAGAGTGGTTCAGAGTGGTTTGGTGTGAAGCGCTCTGTTCTAGAGAAACTTACCGAGTCAGAACTGTTCACAGTGGTGGTGATAGGAACCAGACGTCCACCTCTAAAAGCTCCCTCACAGAAAGTTACTACAGTAAATGGTTATGAATTCACTGCCTGATGACTGAGACACTGTTTAATGATAGTTTTGAGATGATTTTGGCCTTAAACTCCATTCATGGTGGAGGGATACATAACATGCAGGGCACTGTGAGGCAAAATAGTCCCCAAAGAAAACCTATTACTTCAGATTTTCCACTATTTTTCCATCATCAACATTCCATTCCAACATTCCATTCCATATAAACTCAGAAGACTCGTGTAGGTTCACTGTTGGTTCTGGATAGTAAATAAAATGTCTATATTTGTGTTGTAGTCATGGCGACGCCTGGTTCCTATCACCACCACTGTAAAGACATCTAACTATGTTACACCAAACCACTCTGAATCACTCTGTTTACATCTCACACACTGAATTATGCAGAAATTTTGGTGGAATTCCCCTTTAGGCAAATCTGACACTGGTCATGTTACACTTTGGTACAAAAAGGTCGGAGTGTTTTTAGCGTGATCTCTTC